CAGCTGTCACCTTGTGTCAAACTGTTGAAATACACTTAGCTATACTACTAGAAACAAATAAGTTGGGTCAAGCAGTTAAAATGTTGAATTCAAATAGTTGAATTTAATCGTTTACTTTAAATTATGTATATTGATCAGCGTAGATGTGCAAGTGAACTAAAAGTAATTGGATGGATGATTGAATTGAAGGATTGAAGTAAGTGAATAGACTGCATCGAAAATAATGGCATTGTTTGAGAGAGAAACATGTTGATGAAGAAAGAAGGAGTCGAATGAAATGAGAGCTGATGAAGTCGTTGCATTTTGATTTTTCCTTGTTAATTGTTGTGTTGTTGGCGTCGTGTCGGCCGGGTGGCTCTTGTGTGTACGTATGCGTATATGTGTGTCTCGGTTTCGTCTCGTTCCCCTTTTTTTTTGTTTCCTTCTTCATCATCATCATCTTTTTCTTCTTCTCTCGTCGCTTCTTGCCATCCTTTTTACCGTCCGTTCGGTTTGTTAGGCGATGCCTGAACATACCTCTTGATGGATCAAGTTGATCAAGGCAGTCGATGCGTTTAAGAGAGGTGTGTTCGGCATTGAATTCGCGCCAGGCTTAATATAACATGACTAATATATCTTCGAGACCCATCTGGATTGAACTCCTGGCATTTCAGAGGTGTCTCGCATATCAATTTCGATATTTAATATGATGTCGGTGAGGGCGAAAGAATGAGTAGGAGGAGGTGGATGAAGATGAAGACCGGCTGTGGTCCTGGACGTTTTGCCTACTACCACCTTCAGGATTAGAGTTCGCGCGCAGAGGTCTCGGACCTCTCCGATCTCGGATCGGATCAGAGGAGGCATAAGGCGTATAAAAGAGATACGTACAAGAAAAGTCCGTATGGAATGCCGATGCCGTCGAGCATTGTTCACCTTTTCCAATAAATCGAAATGGCCAAATATAGATTTGCCGATTGTAACCCTTATATAGTATCGCCGCATTTCGCCATCCTCGAAGTATCGCCGTATAACAGAGATATTCAATTGATATATTAATACATACCCAAGGCCTTGAATTAATTGCGTTCTCGAGTTATGCGAGAACTTAACAAACATGCCAAATTTAATTACACGCCATCGACGATAATTCAAACCCAGACTCGGATAGTTTACGAGATTCTCTCTCTATATATACATATACATACATGTATGCACTAGTTTCACTTGCGAAGAAGGAAGGAAACCAAAACAAACATACAAAAAACAACCGCAAACAAACAAACAACGACAACAGAAACAACAACAACTAACACATGTAAAAAAAGAAGAGGAAAAACGGTGGTACGAGAGAGGCGGATAGAGACAGAGAGGTGGAGGAAAAATTGCACAAACCGAAAACCAGTTTTCATATTGGAGAGAATTGTGCGTTTTCTGTCTACCTCGGAGACCGATCCAGCCCACCGTGAAGTGCGCTCACGAAACGAGAGAGATTTAATAATAATTACAAACCATATATAACTGCAATATTAATCAACATCCGACTCACTTCTAAACTCTCTATTTTATTGGACCTAGATCAGAGCGCCGCGAACGCCGTTCTCAGTTCTTATGTCACATCATCAAAGCACTTACCTATTCTCGAACACTCACTAGAGTAAACTTGGAGAGTCAGCAAGAAAGTTTCTTTTTTTTATTTTTCAATCGAACCTTGATACATCACAAAAAAAATTAAAACGTTTCCTATTTTTATTTATTACTATCTGAATTGATGCATTAACATGTTGTTTCTATACTCGAATTGTTCGTTAACCGATTTACCACAAACTTTAAGATTCTCCTTATCCTTATACATATATTTGTTGTCCAATTTGTTCGTTAACCGAATACTCACTGTATTAGTAACTAAACTGAAAGATTATTTTATTCTAATCTTGATGAATGAAATCAAGAAATAAACATGTTCCCTTTCTTAACAATTAACTAAATTTAAACAAAACAAAAAACGCGGAGTGAACGTTTAACTATATAAATATAAGTGTTGCATAATCGTTGCAAACAAGTAGCAAAAAAATATATATATATAAGCAAAAACAACGGCAAACGTGTTTTTGTTGCGGGTAATGCGTATGTCTGTAATTAGAAAATTAGAGTTCAACGTTTCAAACTGCTTGCAATTATAAGTAATCCATTTAGCGTTGCGCATTTTTTATTTGTTTTCTCTTTCTCTGTCTTTCTCTCTCTCATTGTCCGCGCTGTCCATTTCCATTAACTGTTTTATTACCGAAGTAAAACTGAATTACTTAATGGCAATTTGTCGCTAATTGATCGACGCTGTTTCCTTTATTTCTAAATTTACAAATTGCTCGCATTATTTTATTCGCGAAAAAGTTACTTGTTCCACTTTTATTTGTTAATTGATCAAAATTTATAGCAATTTAATATAGCAATTCAATTCTTGTTTGACTTTTATTTGTTGCAGTTAATTGAATAACAATTCAAGCGAATAATAAACTTTAAATTGTTGTTTTTAGTGAAAAAAGTATTTAAATCAAATTTTGAAATTTTTGGCCAATTATTGACAAAGTGCAAAAGGTTGTATTATTTGTTAAAAAAAAGTCTAATGTCTCACATTTTTTTGTAACTTAATTAGTTTATAGTTGATCTTGTTGAAAAAATATATATTTGAAGTATAAATGTTTTGGCAAATAATAGTAAGTTTGCTAACAGTTGTCGCTTTTTTTTCTATAGTGTGTGAACTAGTTTGAAGTTGTCAGCACTGAACAAAGAGTGCAAAAACTGAATTTTCTTTGAAGTTCCGACAGCGCTCGAACATCATCAAACATTCGTTGACAATGGTCTCCTATGAGCATTAATCATATATCAAAGCGTTTTGCTGGATGACCACCTCAAAGAATACTCTGGGTTATATATCTCGCGAGTGACGAAGATGGGTTTGTTGCCTTGAGAAGGTTGTTCGTATTTGGATTGTATTATTATGGATGGGTATTATACGTGAGTGCCAAGACGACAAAAAGCGAGGGGGGGAAAGGACGTGGTGGAGGTGGACGAGGATGAGGATAAGCGTTGAATATTGAAATCTTAAAGAGAACGAGCTGGCTGGGAGCTGGTGAACAGCGAATGCGGCGCAGTTTTTTCATGTCTTAGATCGGAATGTCCGGTATGCGAATGTTTCGAATGCATAATTCAGGAAAACGCTTTCTTTCCTTTTCGTCTTTCCGTCTCCTTCCAACGCAGCGCACACATAATGTTATGGCTATATAAGCAAATGTCAGCACGATTGGCGGCCTTCAAAGTCGTTCCTAGTAGTACGAGTGTCGTAAGTAAGTCTGTAATGTCGGCCCAGAATCGGAGGTGCGCGCGTGAGAGAGTCGTCCCTTCGTCGTTGTCGTCGTCGTCGTCAGTAAAAAGGGGGAGACGACGACCAGTCTACCGGTGTTTGCGTTTTGAGAAAGGTCAGGTCTAAATTAAACGGCGCACAATTTCAGACGCAGCCGTAATTATAACTCGAAAGAAAAAGCCGAGCATATGGCATCAGCAAACTGCTGAAGTAGAAGCAGAAGCGCTGGTAGATGAAGAACCATCAAGAGGAGCAACAGCAACAAAAGGAATCGGGACAACGAAACGAGGAAGAAACGGCACAAAGCCTCTCCTCCCATCTTTCGCACTCGCACTTCCTCGACACCCGAAATACCTTTGCATTCAAATCACAGTCGTATTTATAAACCTGAAGCCTGGTCAACGCGAAAACCTCTTCCAACCAACAGCTTCATTACATTCCATCTGCTCTTAATATACATCATATTATATTTGATTGCTTCTAACATCAAATACCAGCATTAATATTAACTGCTTTTCTCTGAACAAATACACTTTATGATTTTAATGATCAACATGTATACAATTTCATTGTCTTAGCAAGATCTATATAACAAAAGTTAAAAATATATAAGTTATAATAATAAGAAATTGTAGAAAGCAATACACTTTTTGATATCTGTCAATCAATTATCTTCAGTTATGTTGTAAGATATTAATGATGTAATAGAACTACATTAGTTGACAAATAAATCGGATAACGAACACTTCTGCGAAAGATTTATGTTCGGACAACAAACAGATGTTCGGATAACGTACACTTTACCGAACAATTGAGGTTAGTTTTGAGAGCTAACAATAGTAATATGAAGCTTAAATAAACAAACAATTTGGTTATCAAACAGCTGATTTGTTACAAAAGGATAATTATCTTTTATTTTGTCAAAGAAAATTTGAATCTCTTGTTTGTAGTTACAAGTTATTGCGAAAACAATGAAAATTATATAACAATATCTTAAAGCATTCGGGATTGCTCTACTGAAACATCTACCGATCTATTTTAGATTAATTATTTTTCGTTCTGGATAATATTCGATTGCTTCTAATGATTTATGTGTTTATTTGGATAACAGCATTGATTTTCTATAGTCAAACAGTTACTCAAAATATATTATACAGGCGTCTGTTGAAAAGTTGATGGGTATTTCGAGAAGGCGCCAAAGTTTTGGTGAGCACTTAAGATTGTATTTGCGTCTGGTGAAGAAGGGACGACGACGACGACGCTGAAGGGAAGTTTGTTTTTTTTGGACATCTGGCTTTGTCTTCAAATCAGACGAGGCGACTGCATCGTTGAAACGTTCCCATGTTTCGGTTGAGACTATTTTATTAATTCGCACCGCGCGGCATTAGTAAGTGAAATTACTTATACGCATAGTCTGTATATAGAGTATATAGAATAAACAAGTTACCATAACAGGTTTCACCCTGGTGGCGCGAGTGAGAATATAGTAATTGCGAACGGCCTTATTTTTAGACGCGCATACATTTATAATGCGTCCACGTCCATTTATAATAATAATATTAATAATAATAATGTCATAATTTACTCTCGGCCAGAGTTGGATAATTAAGTGATAATATTTTTTCTAATATGTTTTATTTATTTCTTTTTATTTGTCTTGCAGAATGCGTGTTCGGGTCGCAAGTGAGGGAGCTTGGATCATCGTGGGTCCCGGATCTGGGTATCCCGATCGGAGTCCTGTACTGCATGAAATGCGAATGTGTACCGGTAAGTTTTCTACATAAATTTCATTCAGCCACGGACGACGCAATTACTTTTTTCAGTGCCCCTTTTCTTTTCCTTCCTTTTTCCTCTTTATTTTTTTTTCTGTATATTTCTTTTCCTTTTTTTGTGCAACTCCTGCAAAGCGACTTTATGCAGAAACCAGTTTTTTGCATTTGTAAAACGGCTAAGCGTGTTACGGTACTTGTTTTTTTTCCTTCATTGTGAGACAAATTACGGCGTTACACGTATGTAAGTAAGTAAGTGAGTGGAGTGGATTGGTGCGGTTCGGAATTCGGGTAATGCCCGAATTTGCATCCCACCTAGGGCCGCGTGCAACAATTGTCGCCTTTCCTCCTCTGTTTCTCTTCCGAAGCCGCCCGCCAACTCGGATGGCGGAGGGATAATAAACAAGTTTGCACGCCAAGGAGTTGACCTTTAGTTATGGCGCCTGCAGAGATTTCCATATTTTACTGAATGCAACTGCTGCATTTTCTTCGCTCCTCTCCATTCAAAAAAAGAAGAAAGAAAAAAACAACAAGAGGAAGAATAAGACGGAAAAGAAGACCATGCAAACAGAACCGAAACACGTCGAAATAAAGAAAGTTTCTCTCTAATGGTGAATGGGACTGCCCACGCACGTTTCTTAATCCTTCCTCTCCTCCTTCTTATTCATCTTTTTCCCTCCTGCACGTCTCGTCCAACGTGTGCTGTGCATTCTTTGTTGTCTCTGGCTTTTAATAGCGGATGCAAATCTAATAAATAGTGTGTCATTCGCGGTGATGAAGATACAATATGGGGGCGGTAGAGGTGGAGGTCACGAAGGTTGCTGACCCAGGTTTCCTCTCTGCATGTGTACACTTATATACACGTATATGTGTACAATATATGCATGCTGGTCGTGTGATATATTCCCCACCTAAAGACCTAGAATAAAGCAAAAAAAAAACATAAATAATATATGAAACGAATCCTAATCCTTTTTACTTCTTAGAGCATAACTAATGCCCTACCAATATTTCAGTCGCAGAGGAAAAGGAGGATCGTGGCCAGGGTCCAATGTCGCAGCATCAAAAACGAGTGTCCGGAACCGAGCTGCGAGGAGCCGGTCCTCTTACCCGGAAACTGCTGCAAATCCTGTCCGGGCGACAACTACAGTAAGTAAACCATAAGCAACCGCAAGCGTTGCTGCTGCATATAGGTGCATGACACTTCAAAGTGGCAAGGTTATCCAGATAACAACAAAGCCACGGCGCCCGACGACCTATTTATTGAAGTGTTAACACGCTCTCCGAGCCTTTTCTATCTATCTCTCCGCCTCTCTAGAAATACTGGAAGATGCCTTTCGCACTACTAACACCCATTCGAAGATAAGAAGCGCATCACAATTTTCGTTACCATAATCGCTTTACTTCATCGTTTTCCAATAATTCCATCATCATCATTATTATTATTTTTAACTGCTCAGACATCGCGTATTTACCTTCAGATAAAACTGGAGTGTGGTTTCTTGTTTGCTCGACGGCAGGTCGCGCGCTATTTGTTGATAAACCGAAACTTCCAGGTGCAATTTACGCTATCAGCGAACTTTCTACATCCAACATTTATTTATACAATTTCCACCGGCAGGAAAAAAAAGAAAATGACAACGATAAACATTATGTGCGTAACCTTATTGGTTACTACGAGTTTCACGGTAGTTGTAAACAAAATTAAATTGCGTTTATAATTTCTATCATATTAATCAAATTTCACCAAAAATAGACACAAAACATTAAAATTATTTGAAAACAACTGGAATCATTAGCCTGAAGAGGATTAAACAATTTAATTAACACATTTATTGCCACTGTGATAACATAGAAATTATGTACTGAAAACCATTTTAATTTATAAAAAAAATTGAAATTGTGGTCTTTACTTATGTAACAAAATGAGTCCTGTTTTTGAAAGAAAGAAGAATTGTGCACATTGCCTAGTCTATGTAGATAAACTTGCCATACTTTATATATTTTATATTATGCTATTAACAAAATGATTTAGTTAACATAGAGTACATTGTGTTTATATTACATTCTCAATGTATTTCTGAAAAAATGTAATTCAGATTCAGTAATACTAACATTTATTTTCTTTTAGTAAAAAATCAGGTCTAAAAGGTTTAAAAGAGTATTTGCTATGAATAACTCTTATTTGGCATCTGGATACAGACTAGTAACTACAAGTTATCTCGTATTTGGATGTGGACGTGTTAAATCATGCTGACAACAGAATATTATGTGAATCTGAACAGCGATATATATACATATAAATTGGAAACTATGCGATTTGTGAATAATATGGTTCGATAATTTATAGCTGTTCTTGCATAGAAATGCGTTTCTTTCATCGTAGTTGTTTGCTGTTGCTGCGGTTATTGGCGTGCAAAAGTTATGGTTATTGGTATAACTTTGGGCCTAGGCGAGTTTTCGTGCGCGCTTGAAATACAAGGTACTTAGAGGCATATGGACATGAGTGTGTGTATGTATGTGTATGCCGGTGGGCGAAATATGTGTGTGCATGTACTCCCACCATTTACGAACGGCGCCACGGCTATATTTCCTACGTCTACTGAGAGTCTGTTCAATAAAATTCCGACATCATCTCTGCACGTCCAGAAGGGATATGCATTCTCTCCAGCATTCGGACACCGTCAAAAAAAAGGTGGAAGTGATGGTTGTGGTGGTGGTCGCCTATTGTAGTAATGGTCGGCGATCATTAAAATGAATAGGCGTTTAGATAAATCGACGTTATCGGAAAGGTCGATCGGAAGGGATCGGATGAAGAGGAGCAAGAGCAACAACAAACAGCTACGGAGAGATGAAGGAGAAGATGAGGTGGAGGATTGGAGCAGAACAGAAATGTAGAAGAAGAAGAAAAAAAAGCGAGAAAAGAAAGAATTGTTGTCGGACACGAATAGTTCCCTCGTCGAGGAAGGTGAAACCCGTAATAAAATCGGTGTTTTTGTTTCCTAGAAAGGTGGATTTCAGGCATTTTAAGAGCATGCATGCCGATCTCTGATATAAGTTAACGGGTAATATATTTCGTGGTGTGTCAGAGGCTGTCGACGGCTCGCACACCGACAGACAGACAGACAAGACACTCTCACAGAGTCTATTTTTTCACGCCTTTGTCGTCGTCATCGTCGTAGTCGTCGTCTTTTGAGCACGATTTCAAGGGCGAGCCTCTCTAGACCCCTAAAAATAGCGCAGCGCGAAAATTCCCGTTTTAATTAGCGAAACGCCAATTACGAAACGCTTTACGTGCGAGGATCGCAGTCCCTACAATAATAAAAAAAATAAAGAGACACGTGCCGAATCTGTTGCAGCTTGCTGTTGATGGTGGTTTCTTCGTTTGCGGACATTTTCCGCGTGTTTAAACTAATGGAAGCAGAGCGGTCTCTCTCCTCCGCTATTTCAAGATCCTCCCAAGTCCGTCGACACTCAGGCAAGGACTCCGCAGCCGTCTAAAAATAGTCCCCATGCAGATTGTTTCCAGCGAATTAATCGTAATAATAATAACGAGTCTTAATAAGCAGAAATATAATACGTAGCGATGACACCGATTTTATTGGAGAACCTCCGAGGCGCCAGCGATGGGCATTCCACTACGCGTGGGGTCGCCGCAAAAGCCAAACAACTTACATAAATATACACACATTTATATAGTACATAGCGGCAAACTTTAACATTCTATATTCTACCAAACTATTAGACATCATATATAGTACATGATTTTATGTAATGCAATAAGTATACACGATTATTATTTTTTATTGTAATACCTTGCCAAATTCTGCGGGGCGTTCTGTAGAACGTCGACTAATAAATACGCTTTGCCGTTAACATGTGTATAAATAGTATTACACGACCGCAACGTTGATTAATCTGCAGGATTCACGTGTTTACCTTAGATAAGGCTGAATTGCAAAAAAATAATAATAATAATTACAAAAATAAATAAACACAAACACTTCCCGCTGGCGCCAGCTTGCTAATTTCGTAATCTAATCTAGCTGAATCGTAATACCATCGCATTATTTATTTATTTTTTTTTCCTTTCAACCAGGTGAAGAAGTTCATGATGTCGTGCCGCAAAACACCATGGAGGAAGAAGAAAGGAATACTAAACGTAAGTATACCAAATATAAAGTTGTTAGTTGTTTTGGATTATTCAAATTATTTTGTTTCTTAGATTACGCAGCCTTGCTAACAGGAAGATCGCCTTTGGTGTTGAGGAATGACGATATGAAGCCAATAATCAACGATAACAAGAATAATGTCGTTGCGACTGGTCGCTTTACCTTCCAGAAGAAGAACCTTTACTTCTCGTTTTACATTTCGGATAAGGCGGCTCGTCCGAGGTCTTTGCAATTCGTGGATGAGAACGCTAATATTTTGGATGAGATCGTTCTCTCTGGTGCTGGAGGAATTGTGAACAGTCATTATCAGAATGTGACTAGGAAGGTGTGCGGTGTCTGGAAGCGACTTCCAAGAGATTACAGGAAGTACTTGAAGGAAGGTAAACTGTACGCCGTTCTGGTTTGGGGTGTTAAGCATCAATCGGAATTTATGCTGAGCGGTAAGATCACCAAGTACGTGGCTCTGAGCACCGAACTCTTCAGTTCTTTGCTGGAACCAGCGCCAGGTACGGATCCCGTTATGATGGCCGGCGCCGGAGGAACCGCCATAGTATCCATCTGGACGGCGACTCCATCCATCCACATAGCGATTGTCTTCAACGGGGTTTTCACAGCGGAGGAAAAGAGCAACGTAACGATTAACATCAACTTGTCTTTGGACGAGAAGAAGGTTATCTATAATGAAACGTTGAAGATCGAGAAACCGGCGCACGAGTTGAACGTGGTCGAGATCAAATCGTCGCTGACTACGAACGAGTTGAAGCATCTGACCAAAGGTAAATTGGTGCTGAGCATCTCTTCGATTTCCCATCCGACTGCTCTGAAGTTGTCGGGAAATCTGATGACGAAAGCTACCTGCGAATTGTTCCAAACAACGCTGTCTTCGCCTGGGAACAACAATTACGGAACATCGGGTCTCGCTTGGTTATTCTTGAACAACGACGGAAGTCTCGTATACAATATCCAAGTTGATGGCCTGACCAATCAGCAGCAACCCATGTACATAACCCTGCAGGATATGAGCACGAGGAAGAAGACAGAACTCGAAGATTTAACTCCATACTATAGGATGGGATGGGCCAACGGCACTGTTGACAGGATCTTCCCTAAGCTTCTCGATCCTCTCTACTCTGGTAACCTTGCTGTGAACGTGGCTACTCAATCAGAGAACAGTCTGATCAGAGGCAAATTATCTCCTCGTTTAGTGGCGGAGGCGAGGGACGCATCCGCGCCGGTTCTATTAAAACGCGAAGATTACTCTTTGCCAACGTCGGCCGTCGGTATGGCTTGGATTAACGTCGATAATGACTGTAATATTCATTATGACGTATCCCTCACCGGTCTCGGCAGTCAAGAAAGACAACTCGAGTTATATTTAGAATTCCTACCGATGATCGCCCCCGGCGCTCCAGTTCTTTACCGCCACTTGGGGGAAATCCAAGGCAGCCAAGTCGAAGGTAGTCCAACGGAAGCGCTGCGTTACGAAGAACTGAACCGACTGGACTCCGGTGTTTGCTTCATCAAAGTTAAAGAGTCGCACAACAGGAACGCGACTCTTTTAGCCGCAACCCTCAAGCAGGTAATAACAACCAATCAAACAACCATTATCCATTACTAATCTTCATCAATCTATTATCGAAAGGTTAAAGTACCATTGACCTGCCTACCCCATTACACCGACAACGACGTGCACATCCTTTACGACACGGAAGTGCCTCAAGGTGGCGCGTGTCTGCACGAAGGAAGGTTCTTCAAGGAAGAAGCTTCATGGACGTCCACCCAGGACCCATGTACCATGTGCTACTGTCAGAACGGAAACACAAAATGCGATACGTCCACCTGCCCCGAACTCCACTGCTCCAACAACATGAAGATCAAGAACCCAGGAGAGTGCTGCCCCATCTGCGCCAACTCCTCCGCTCCCCGGGACATCATCCCGGCCGGCTGTACTTTCGGTGGTAAATTCTATTCATCCGGCAGTAAATTCCACCCCTTCCTCATACCAAACGGATTCGACCATTGCACTGAATGCGCCTGCGAAGAAGCCGAAGTGAAATGCACCAGGAAAGGCAATGAAAAGCAATGTTGCCGGAATTGCGAAACCGAAGCCATGAGAGCTTCAGAGAATGGAACATACCTTGGAGACGGCAGCAGAACCCTTCTACCGGACATCGTGAAACCAGTAAAACCAAAAAAGAACGTGCAACAGATTCTCTTAGACGGTGGCTGCAAGAACCCAGCCGACGCGTTATCCCCTTTCGAAAACGGACAGAAGTATCATCCGTTCATCGCCACACTCGGCGAATTCAAGTGCGTCACATGCAAATGCAAGGTAATTCTCAACAGAAACTAATAAATTCTTCAAACATTACATAACACTTTCTTTCTTCTATCAATAGAACGGCAACACGAAATGCGAGCGACCGAATTGCACCAAAGCCCTGTGCCAGAAGTTCATCAAATCGCACAGGAACCACAGCCTGATCATGGGCACGCCCGAATCCTGCTGCAGTCTGCAGTACTGCAGACGGTACCGACGACATCATAAGCCTTACAACAACAAGAGTTGAATTCCTGGGCCCTTTCACTAGACTCGAGCAGGAGGACAACGATAACTGGCATCATTAAAAAAGAACAACGATGTGCTTCCTCTTTTCTTTTCAATTTCTTTCAAAGAAAGCAAAAACAAAACTATATATATATTATTAAAAAAAAAGGAGAAAGAAAACTCGCGGCCTCCTCGAGCTCCCTCTTAAAATAATTACCTTTCTACCAAAGAAGACTGATGCAGATATTTGTATGCAAAACTTAAGAAGAAGAAAAAAGCGTTTTTTAAAAAAATAGGAAAAATCAGAGCGAGAAAAAAAAAACGATTGAAACTTTTCACATAACCGATTGGTCCTTATCGAAGTTTTGCCTTCAACACGAGTAGAAGTTATATGTGTTTTATTTTTTATTAATTAATTTCTTTCTGTGTATTATTTATTTTTTATATGTGTATATTATTGCTACGTTTATTTAAAAAAATGATGAAGAAAAAAGAAAAACAAACTAATGTGGAAGAAAACAGGTGTTATATTTATATCTCTACATATATATTTTTCCGTTTATTTTCTGTAGATAATATAACAAAAAAAAACGGAGCTGTTTTCCTTCTGCGAACTGTGGATCATATTTTTTAGGATGTGTAAAAAAATATATAGTATTTATTGAATATCTCCTTTTTGTTTTGTTGATTTGAAAAATTGATGATTTTTAGAAGAAGAAAAAAAAAAGTATACAAAAATAAAGATAATGAAAATGTGTTTAGGGAAATTGATAGAGAGAGAGAGAGAGAGAAAGAGAAAATATGTGCTACAACTTAGGAAGGATGAGCAAACACTTGATCGCTGATGAACTTTTCTGTAATGATTTTTAAATTATTCCATATCAATGAGTTTCTGGACGAGACTCGAGAAACCCTCAAACTAGAGACGAAGGCTGAACTCAACTTTAATTAATTTTTAAATAACTCTAGAAAGGAAATTAAACGAAATATTAACAAGAAAAAAAAAGGTAATAAAATAAATACAGGTTACTTAAAGCAGTTAAGATTAGTACATATCGATGTTGGTGCCATTTTAAAAATAGGTACTTAAAAAGTAGGCTTAATTTAATTGAACACGTAGGAGCATTTAAACAATGAATAATTCAAATTGACGTAACGTATACATATATTTATTATATTAGAGGGAGAAGAAAAATTGGAATCTCCAAGTTGCAATATTACAGTATTTTTTTATTAATTATTATTTTATTTTATGTTGTTTTTTTTCGCTAATTATTATGATTGTTGTGCGATGTATGCAATCGATTGTTTGATTGAATTTTTTCTCTGTTCTCTTCGCGTGGATGCGATGATGATGTAAAAATGTATTCTCTGTTATACTGCACACGTAAAATTAATTATTGTAAATATTAGTTATTTGCTTTAGGTAAATATTATACGCTTGTAAATAGATATTAAGGTTTAATATACGTACAGTTATAAGAACGCTAATTGTGTATGACTTTTCGTAGGTAAAGTAACAAACAAAAAATAATAATAATAACAATATAAAAACTGAAAAATTACAAAAAAAAACATATCTGCAGAATGCATTTTGTTGTTATTTGATTGTATTTTATTTTTGGTGTAAACTTACAAACTCCGTCTCTTATTCTTTCTCTTGTTTTTTAACACATACAAAAAATAAATCTAATTAAGTTATAGGATGAATGGAGAAGTAAAACAAAAATGGCTTTGTTGGTTCGACATCAAGGAAACAAACTGAAGATGAACACGAACTATACATATTTATATACAAGATATTTCTCTATTATTCAACTTAAGTGTACCTGCTACCTAGAAATATATGCTTCAACTATGTATCTAAAAATTGTTTTCTTTTTTCCATTCCTTTAATTTTGTCTATCCGAATATTTATTACAACATTTAGTCACACGCTTGAAATTCTCCACCGCTGATTTATTGTCCCAACCAAACGTTTCTTCTTTTGACTCTCTCACGAGGCCCATTTCTGTGGCTTTTTTTAATACTTCTTCGAACTAATAAGACTAATGCAACGACTTTTCGAAGTATTTGGATCGTCTTTTTCTAACAGGAAATATTTCATGCAGTTTAAACAGGATGCACTTTAAGAAAATACCTAAATTTTACAATTTTACAATATTTAATAAATTTTATTACATTTGTAACAATTTTTTCATAATCAAAACACATTTTTCATTATGAATTTATTCCAGAATTTATATTAACCCTTTGAATCCTAGTGGTATCATGACAAAACCAACGTTTTAATGTTTTATATTGTAAAGTCTTAAATGTATTTTACTTAAATCTCACTATATGAGCTATGCGCTCCAGAATCACTTTAAACCTTTGCAGACGAGCGGCGGAGATAGTCGCCCTATTATTTACAAAGGAGACTACGCTTCTATAAAATTGTATACAAGTCCACTACAGTTGCGCACTCAGCGAAATTTAGTTCAAAGCGTTTTTGTCAGTTGAAAATGCATTTGAGTTCTGGTATTGGTATCATGACAAATTACCGTTTTAATGATTTATATTGTAAAATCTTAAAGGTATTTTACATAAACCTCTTTTACGATCTATGCGTTCCAGAATCAATTTAAACTTTTGCGGACGAGCAGCGGATATAGTCGCCATATTCTTAACAAAGTAGACTACGCCTATGTAAAATTGTATACAAGTCCACTGCGGTAGCGCACTCATAGAATCTTAGTTCAAAGCGTTTTTGTCAGTTGAAAATTCAACTTTGTGAAAAAAATAATTACTGCAATATCTCACAAAGTGCGGCTTTTATCAGTCCAGATTCACCACAGTCCAGTTTGGAAACATCAAAACAAACTATTATTTTTTTATACATAATTTTTTATACATAAACTTTAAAGGTATTTTACATAAACCTCACTGTTGTACGATCAACTAGTTCCAGAATCAATTTAAACCTTTTCGGACGAGCGGCGTATATTGTCGCCATATTCTTTACAAAGTAGACTACGGTTATATCGTGTGGTTCATTTTTTCTTAGTATTGAATTCCTCGAATTGTACGCCGAATAGCCGCATAATACGAGGTATCTGAACATATGATTTGGTAAATTCAAAATCTACTTTTTTTTAATACTAAATAATTTGTTTTGTAATGTAATATAAATAAACAATACAAGTCTAGACTTTTATGCAAGTATAGGAAAATGGTAAAAAAATACACACACACACAATGATTCACTCGATAAAAGAGAACGAAGCGTTCTGCTGCAAAAGCAGGTGTCCCGAAAAAAAAAAACAAACAAACTGTAAACAATCCGCGCGCGTGGTAAACTTCCCGGAATCAGAACCGATTCATGAATGAAATCGTAGTATTTCCATACAAACCTATGAATGAAATCTTTTGCTTCTAAGATTATATTTAATTTTTTTAATTTTGATTTTATTTAACTTTCAAGTAACAAAAATGTAATTTAAACTATGGTTTAATATTCTTGCATGATGGAAGTAGTTTTATTTTCGTTGTCCCCAACGGAGATGTTTCCAGTTTCCAATTCCGCTCGACGATTTACATTTTAATTAAGATTTGTTTGAAAACCGTGTTTCTATGCTAATTTTATGGCTCATATATTATTACCTTTTCTGTTTAAAGGTTTGATACTTTTTTAATTAAATTATAATAAGAAATATTACATAAACTGAGGATTTAAGTTTGTTTGGTAAGTTTTTATTGTATCGTTTCATAAGAAGTTTCGGTATAATTAGTAAACCGGTGACATTACAATGAAAAAAAAAACAAACGAAACGCATGAGCGTAGAATCCGCCGCCTGATATGTTCTAAAAATAAGATTCATTAAGACATCTGACCAAGTCAACGGAAGTGCTTCGATCCCACTCCAAAAAAAAAGTATTCGGAAACTATTTTCATCTTTGGCTTAGTCTCAATATGGTTGAACTCTACGCTTTTACCGAGAAATGTAGTATATTTATATTTCGACAATCATATGATTATCACACAAAAACTCGGCGTATGATTATTACACATCTCTCATATGACTGTTGCAAAATCATATGATGATACCACGTAACAACATCAACAACATCTGTACATTCTTCGTGTGATCCACCTGCAAAGAAATATAACAAAAACAAGTCACATTGTTTTGGTTTTTTGGAATGCTTTGTTTATAGATAGTTAGGTAATACAAAATCTAATAATTAAGTACGTTATGATGATTCTGGTGTAGATTTAGTTGTTCACAATTTGCTCGGTTTCATCTTCTTCGCCATCTCGACGGATTCTTGCATAACTCTGAGGACGTACTCGACTTTTTCTGGAGACGCGTTGTATCCCATTAGGCCGATCCGGAAAACTTTGTTGGCAGTCGGCCCCAAACCGCCGGCTATCTCCACGAGGAATCTGAGCAATAAAGAGGACGATCACAGGCATTATATTATGCAATAAACGGATAAATAAAGGAGCGGCGGAATGAGGACGGGAAACCGAAAAAGTTTCGGAGGACCGACGAAGCCAAGAAAAACCGTATAATAAAGGCATTCGCGTTCCCAATTTATATTTTTACATCTCTGCAACAGCCAGACATCGTGTTCTGCGTTTAAATGCAAATCGTGGATAAAAAAATATTAAATTCTGTCATTACTGTTGCTGAATAACAATCACAAAACTGTTCTCACAAAAAGCACACACATATATTCATTAAATATTCAATTCTTTCATACATTTCTTTTACAGCAATCTTTATTTCTGTATTAAAATATTTATCGCATCAAACTTAATGAAAAAAACTTGTATTTAACAATCACTTTCATTCAAGCTTTCATTCAAATGCATACACATATTTAAAATTCTATTGCATCATCTTACTTCAATCCAATTTTTATTTCTGTGTTAACATCTTTTCCTCCTCAAACTTACATAATAAATCTCATATTTTAATATTTTGTTCATTTCTCTATTGGAATGCAATAATCAAATATATTTTACTGTCTTTTTTGTACTTCTCTATTAGAATGCAACAATAAAATATGTTTTACTGTCTTTTTGGTAACTATTTTGGTACTAATTTTTATCATTACTGTTGCTAAATAAAAAATTACATAACTTAATTTCTTTTCAACAGGATTTATTGCAATCTTAATTCTTGTATTATAATCTTTTCCTCGTAAAAGTCAATAAAGAAATTTTTTATTTTACTATGATTTTGACTATTTTCTACTCTATTTTGGCACTAATTTATATCATTACTGCTAAAAATCACAAAGATTTCATTCATATGCATACACACATTTATAATTATATCATTTTATTTATCTTCTTACGTAAAACTTACTTTTCTTCGTAAAACTTACATAACAAATCTCATATTGTAATATGTTTGATTGTGCTTTTCATCCTTTCCTTACCGAATTTTGGTCTATCATTACTGTTGCTAAATAACAGTCACATAACTTCATTTTTAATTCTTGTATTAACAACTTTTCCCCAACAAACTTAATGTATAAATCTTATTTCACTATATTTTCTAACCAATTTTGATACTAATTTCTATTAGTATTACTGCAAATAACAATCACAAACTTTCATTCAAATACATATACATATTTAAAATTAACTTACTTCAATACAATCTTCATGTCTGTTTTAACATCTTTTCCTCATCAAACTTACATAACAAATTCCATATTTCAATGTAAAAATAAAATGAATTTTTGGTTCTTTCTTTACCGAATTTTGGTCCTAATTTCAATCATTACTGTTGTTATATGGCAATCACAAAACTTCATTGAAATACACACACTTATTTATAAAGTATTCAATTATTTTATACACTTTTTCCTCATTAAAGTTAAGAAAGAAATCTTATATATATATTATATTTTGGTTCCTTTTAAATCTTATTTTTGATCTACTTTCTATCATTACTCTTGTTAAATATCAATGACAAAGCTTTCATTCAAATGCATACACAACATACTTTAAAATTCTATTATTTCATACATATTTTTACTGTAAACTTGATTTCTGTTTTACCATCATTTACACAGAAAACTTAAGTAAGAAATATCATATTTTAATATATTGCTAATTTCTTTATTACAATGCAATAATAAAATGTGTTTTATTCTGTTACTTACTAACTTATTTTGGGTATTCAATTCTTGTACAATTGTTTTTACTGAAATCTTTATTCTTGTATTATCATCTTTTTCTCATCAAACTAAATATCAAAATCTTATATTTTTCTTCTGGTTTTGGCTCGTTTTTACTTTATTTTGTCCTAATTTCTATCATTACATTTTCCTCATTCTATCATAACATTTCTATCAAAAGCATACTCATATTCATTTAAAATTATATTATTTCATACTTGTTTTAACTGCTAACTTTATTTCTATTTTACTGTGTAGTCAGTTCATTTCTATAGTGTTATATATGAAAAATGTTTAAATAACCAACAGTTTTTTAATACTTTGTAAAGATAATTTCCTATTGTACTAAATACCATTATTTAATTCTCTAGTTCATACCTATTCATTGCGTAATTGGTGACATCTTTCCATTGAACACCATGTGGTACCTTGACGGTGGTTATGGTAGGCAACCTCTTGGACGCATCGGACACGTACAGTTGCAGACCTAACTTCTCTAGTCCTTCGCGGAGAAGCCTGGCACAATTTTCATGTCTTTCAATGACACTCTGAATGCCCTCTTCAGCGACCATCGCCAAAGCTTCGCGTAACCCGTACAAAAGGGTCGTTGAAATGGTGTGATGGTATCTGAAATTGAGCAGAAGACAAACAAAACAAAAAAAATGAGAAATGGTTGTCCTTTCAAAAAGGGTTCGTTGACACAGAAAACGCATTTAAATTTTGTATTTTTAACGTACATAAGTTCCAATTAATATTTGGAATCGGTAAACGTACACTTCGGACGGAAAAATTGAACAAAAAATTGTTGTTGGGACAATAAATTCATATAACAAACACACCTACAAATTGGTATAACGTATTAGTAAGTAGATTTGTAGAATTTACATAATTTGGGTTGCGAACATTGTCTTTTAACGGATTATGTTCGTTAACCGAATACAGTACGAGTATTGATTTTAAAAATACAATTTTTGGTATTATATGCTTATATTGACACTTTAGTAATTACCAAAATTATTGAAAATTTAGATTATAAAAAATAAAATTTGGATCAAAATGGCTTAAGTAGATTCTTCGATATTAATAACAATTAATACTTGAAATTGATATTTAAATAAGTAAATTTGTGTATAATGAAAAAAATTGTTATAATTTTTTTTTTACTAATAATCATTAATTAGTGTTCTTTAATTGTAAAGTGAAAGTGAAATTATTTTTAATTTTCAATGTTTTTTTTGTAGTTTATTTCAATATATTTTTTTTTATTAATATTATGGATTAAATGTTGAAGTTATTTACTAAATACTGAGGCTATTGATTTTAAATTAAAATTTAAATTATTTGAGCTAGGCAACTCTATGTACGTTCTCAATAATTTTGATTTATATTTGTAAAATATTCTAATTAAACAATGATTAAAACATAATTTCTGTTTCTGTATTTGTTATTTTTATATATAATTTGTTTAATTAATAACTATTATTATATAAGTAATTAGTAAATATATGATAATAATTATAATAATTAATTTATTATTAATGAAGCAAAAAGTTTAATTTTCTTAATAGAAATCTACTTACACTCTGGGGTTTCCAAAGCAAGCCCAATAATCACCGAGAATTTTCATGTCCCAGTAGAAGACTTGGATCTCGGTTTTCCGGTTGAATATCTTCTGCCTAAAGGGGAAAGAAAGGACGAATATACAGTATGAGTATGTAGGCTATATGCATTTTTTAAAGATGTTTACTTAGCCCTGTCGCTAAAGGAGATCGGGGTGATTCCCGGTGGAGCTCCAAGGACTTTCTGTGTTCCCGTGTAGATGGCATCAATTCCCCATTCATCTGCAAGGACAGGAACTCCGCCAAGCGATGCGACAGTATCCACCGCCAACAAACAATTGAATCTATAAAAAAAATAGAATCAACATACATTTTTTATGAATGTTTTTATTTTGTTTTAATATTTGATATATTGCATTTATTGCGAATTTATGCTGCCCACATAATATGATAATTAATTGTGTGAATAATAAATTTCAAATATGAGTTGCAGCAGGCAAGTAAACTAGGTCAAATTTGTACAGAAACGCTGAATTTATGTATTATTTTATATTTATATACTATTATGATTAAATGAAATATAACAATATGAAAACAATTGTATTTTATCAATAATTATTTGACTGGTTTTAATTTAACCACAAAAAAACTTAATGGACATTATGATTTTATGCGAAAAAATACATGTGTAAGATGTATTTTTCGTATAATATTGAAATACCTCGAGTTTCAAGAATTCGACCAAAAATATTAGTTTTTGTTGAATTCTTCAAGGATCAAAGATGTAGAAATAAATCTATTCTTGGAAATGAAAATATAAATTATAACAAAGTTAATATTGACAATTAAGTATCTTTTTTAATTTCGTGTCCACGCTGCATGCAGTATCAGATATAAATTTTTAAGAGGAGCAAAAAACAATAGAGATAATCATAGAGTCGTAATTATGTAAGATTTTTTTTTAAATTTACTAAATAATTATTCATAATTATTAATAATAATTATTATGCTTTTTTTATATTTGGTGTAGACCAGAGTTTCTTAGGGATGTCCCGTTTTCGAGTTTCAAATCTTGGTGTCTCAACTAGATTTTCGTGAGATTATTTATGTGATTTTTGGTATTTATTTCCAATAAACGTATTCCTTATTACAAATATTGTTCTTGTCCTTTTTTAGATGATAATTGTCTCTATGGCAACTCCCTATGGCAACTTTAGTCACAACTCAATATTACGACGTGTTATTTGTTCATAAGTTACGAAATGACAGCTGTCACCTTGTGTCAAAAAATGTATGTTACAAACAATTGAGTCGCAGTGTAATTACAAACAAGTAATGTACGTGAAATGGCAAAACGGTTGAAAAACTCTGGTTTAGAAGAAAGAATAATCGATGTTGTTTAAATAATTGAGTATTGAGAAATAATATATTTGTTTGTAATTTAATGATTTTAAAAGTCTAACGAAATAATGTAAAGTCTCTGGATTATTCAAGTATTCCTTAGGTATTTCTGTGAGTAAATAATTCAAAGAATTTGTATTGATTTTGTGTTTGTATAACGACAGATTCTATCCGTTAGCATAGATATTAAGTTTCACCTGTGACAGAGGTCGCCTAGTCCTTCCAAAGGCTGGTAAACTCCCGTGGAACTCTCCCCTTGGACAATGAACAGCATCACGGGCTTATGCTTCATCAAAGCCATCTCCAGTTGGGCCAGACTGAAGTTGTTTCCAGGCTCCGTCGTTACCTTAACGGGGACAGATCCTGCAGACAGTAGTAACAAAACGTAGTCAGACAATAGGTTTACATCCTCTTTGGACGATTTATATCTGGAATTCTAAGCGTCGGGAATCCGGGCATATTTACCGTAACGCTCTGCCATGTTCGAGGCTCTTTCGCCCCAAATTCCGTTCGTCGCAACAAGAACCTTCTCGCCCGGCTCCAACAGATTGCACATCACGGTCTCCATTCCTCCGTGACCGGATGCACTGACTGCCAAAGTCAATTCGTTCCTGGTCTGGAATATATATTGGATTCCTGCTTTGACCTCGTCCATAATCTACACGACAAACAAATACTTCAATATAAAGAGAGAGAAAAAAAAACATTATAGCAAGCGAATTATTTCTTCATTTCGTGAATTTGTTCCGATACAAACTAAAGAAACAAGTATAATCCATGATCAGATCAAACAACTCTATCACGATATACATTTTATTCTATAGTCTACGGGTCGGCAACCTTTTTGGAACAAAGAGCCACTATTAGCTTTTTTACTAGTGATATTAATGTGAGTGAGATATAGGAGCCGCAAATTCACATGTAGAGCCATGGGTTGATTCAATAATTTTATATAACATAAAGGCACTACATGATCATATTTGACAGATTATTCTAGGAAAATGACAAAATCTACAAATTTGACAATATTCTTATTGGAAAAATCATATTTTTTTCTTTAATTTACGTATTTAATTATATAGTTAGTATTCATGGGTATACGTCATAAAATAAAATGTGAAGAAACTCGACCTTAAATTTTGACAACTGATTACAGAAGAATGGGAAATATCACAAATACTGTAATAAGTACATTAGAAAGGCTATAGTTTTTCATTTGATGTGCATATTTCATTAAGTAGCATAAGTGGATATCTAGCAATTAATGTCAGAAATAATAGATCAAACGAATCATTCAACTATTACATAATGTAGTGTATATTTTTATATGATTTATGTACACTAATTAATATGTAATATAATAAGGTTTGACTTTATACAATTTACTTTTGTTTAGTATATTTAGTATCAGCTTTATGGAAAAAAATGTCTAACAACTGAACTTATTCAAAAAAATCCATGTAAAACTTAAACTTTATTTGGTTCAAATATTAGGAAATTTATTGTGCATCATGAAAATATTCCCATGATTTTTTTCATTGATAATATAAAGTTGAAGAAAAGGAAATGAGACGCGTACTTTGTTTTGGCATCAGAAATTATAGGTGCGTGGATAAATGGATGTGTAAAATAATCGGATGAGTAATATTATTTGAAGATAAATGAGTTTTACGATAGCATTAAAATATAATTAGTGGTATGGGTTAATGCGATCCGCGAACGGCGATCCTCTGGTTATTGGGAGGAGGGTGGTTCTCGTTCTTCTGCGTTTCTTCCACCTCCTCCTCCTCCTCATCTTCATCCTCGTATCATCGGACAGGTGGTAAGATCCACGCGCTTTGAGGAGAGAAGCTCTTATGTATCTTGAGGTGCTCATCTGTTCCTTCGAGCAGGTGACTAGTAATAACACGGTTTTCTCTTTGTAAACGAGCCGCGAGTGATTTTGTGGTCGAGCCAGAGGAACCAACAAAAAGAAAACCGAATAAAGACGAAGACCACGGAGGAGGATAAATTTTATTATAATTATGGTTTCTTCGTGCCGCGACAGATAACATAAGGAGAAACACGACCACCTACTTTAATTACAACAAAACGCACATCCTCTTTCGTTGCTCGAAATCGCTGCACTCCTCCAACTGCCGAATCTTGTTTGGTTTCTGATCCCAAGCAACGATAGCAATGATTACATACATTTAACCTCAACCCGAACCTCAAGAACAACAACAGCAACAACAAAAAAAAACTATTACATTTACGTAATTTATATCATCATAAGTCCTGTCGACTGAGACAGAATACAGCATTTCCCACATTCCGTACAATAGAAATTCAACAAAGTTCACGGCTGAAACAACCCCATACTAAATCACCCGACAACACACGTTTAACAATAAGACATTACTACATGGTACTTTATGCACGTTGCAGTAGAAGCTTCAACTCAGTAAATGTATACACTTACTAGTCAATACTATTTTGTAAAATAAAATTATTTGTAAACTGTGACTACTAAACCTATATATATATTAAAAAAACGTTCTTTGTCCCAAGACATACTTGAATCTATAATTAAGCAACACACTTAAGCACTTATTATACATGGAATTTCATTGAAATATAATTGAATTAATTCTCTTTTAAAACTATTCTTTTAACGTTTCAATTAATTGCTTCGTGACGATTCGTGTTTTTGTACCCCTGATTGGCAATTTTTCTAATAATCGCCTTATTTTTACTACTACTACTGTTTTATCAAGGTGCGAATACAAAGTTTTAATTTCAACATTTTATTTAATGAAACATAATGATTTTAATGTCTGGGATAAAATCAAATAATAGATGTTTGAAAATAAATATTGTCTAAAATGTAATCATAATACACATTCAAATTCGATATATTTGACAGCTTCTAGCAGGCGTTTGGAGTACAGCACCAACCTGCCAGTAGAATCATTGGACAGATGATACTTTTTCCTTTAATTAGAGTATTTGACGATCGAATTAGTTTGCGAGATTGTTGAGTAATTCAAGAAAATACTTCATCTTATTCTACAATAAAATAAGAAAAAAAGTGTTTTATTTTCCGGTCCACTCATGTTTTATTTTTTTTTGTATATTGGCCAAAACATATTCAACTCATTGCCAAAATTGTGGCAGCTGCAAATAAGTAGAGTTAAGATAAAATGAAAATACCTATCCAATACCAAGTTATTGGGTAAAATGACCTTTTGAATGAATATTTTAAAACTATTGGTAATTTCATCAATCAACTATATTTTCATTTCTTAAATTAAGTTGATATGTTTGACAATGAATATCTTAGGTAAAAACTAATTCATTTGTAAGTGTATGCATATTATAAGTAACATATCTTAGAAACTAAATAAAGAACGAAGATAACCGAAAAAACGTCATTTATATGTTATATAATTTACCAGTTTTACATAATAAATAGCGTAACAATGCGTAGCGAGGCGCAACAAAAAAAAAATATAAAAAATAGTTCATAATTTTCGAGTAATTATGAAAAATACGCGAAAAAATGAAAACAGGTCAGAGGTAACATTATTTATATAACGAGTTGCGCAACGATGTTCCTTATTTTATTCATCAATAACTTACGAAAAAAGTGCTTTTGAGTTATTAACGAAAAACGAAAATCTCTAGTCATGTTTTTACCAAATTTTGAAAAAGTTGTGAAAAACAATCATAAATTTTCACATACTTGAAATATTATGGTTAATCAAAAATATCTATGATTTGGTGTAAAAGTTGTGCAACATTTCAGAACTTTTCATAATACTGAAACTAGATTTTTTTTCAGCACGCCCATTTGTAAGTTGACGGTTTCCAGTATATGATAATAGTTATATTATATATATTTTTTATAGTTAATTGCATAATGTGAGAAAAATCACTAAATCTGTATTAAAAAACGAAAGAAATTACAGATTTATTAATAGCTTTGTTTCGGTATTGGTGGATTGCGAAGGATTGCAATCAATCCAAAATAGATTAAAATCCAATTAAGCGCAATCGAATTGCATTCAGTGATTTATTTGCGTTTTGTATTTACTTTGGTAAACGGTGTGCATTGCAGCTGTAGCGTGCTTCGGTAGTTCGGTGTCGTTGCGGTTCTCGTACATTTTGCATAACAATGCGTGCGTATGTGTAACACTAAATTTTGGTGGAATCGCAATCGTTTTGAGTTTTGCGCTGAAAACTGAAAACGCCCGGTCGTAAAGCGGGGTACGCCAGAAACGGGGAACGAGATTGTAATTCGGGGGAGGCAGGTTTCACGGTTTCAAACCGCAGTGACAGCTTCTTTGGTATGTATGCTGCTGCACACAGTAATTAACCATTGAATCAAGATCAGAATGGAATTGCATTGGATTAAGCACGTAATTGGAATTTACTTTAGACTATTCATCTATTTGTAACATGAAAATTACCGAAAATATAATGTTTCAAGATTATTTTTAATAAATTAAAAAAATATTTTCATTTATAATCTTAGACTTTAAACAAAATGTGAAATATAAATAATATTCTTTTAGAAATGTATTTACAATTAATCAGCTATTTTTCATGAATTTAATATTTTGGTTATTGAATTGAATTTATAAACTTAAAATTTGATTGCGTTTTATGGTCCGAAGTTAATGAAATATTCTTGTCTAAAAATTATCCAATTAATTTAATTTAAATTGAAAAAACAATTAATAAAGAACTACTAAAGAAATTGGTAGGAATTAAATAATCAATCAATTATTAAATTATTATATGTACAAAAAGTAATATATTCATGAAACAGTTAAAAGTTCTTAGTAAAAATTTAATAAAAAAAATAATCGAAAGTTTTCGAATAAATATTAAACAATAATCCACGCATAGTCCGGGTAATTAGTTACGCAAATATCCTGGACTTTTTGAAATTAGACTAATCGAGGCAGTAAAGGCAAAAACATAAACAGCACAAAAATAGACTTAATACTTAGAATATAAAAGCAATATACATGAATATAAAAACAATTTACTTAAAACTTAGTTTGTTCTGATATTTTTAAACCGGACTTTACTAAAATGGGATTGATTGCGGACGGACTATTCCAGGTAATGCTTTATATTGTAATGATCATTCTACTGAATTTTCGTCGATTTGAAAGGAGTTTTATAAAAGAGTCAACTATAGCAAAAAAAAAACTATTAGAACGCATCAATTTTTAACAATTTTTTTATAAAAATTTGAGAATTTGAGAAAGATGTACGGCAAAGATACATATAAATGGAGAGGAAATTATTTGAAATTAACTCCATGAAACTTCATTCATTGTGAGTAAAAAAATATTATGTTTAGAAAAAAAAAACAAACTAAGAATATGCGTTATAAAACTTATTAGAACATATGGAATTGTATACTAATATGAATATGAGGTTGTAAAACTAAAAAAATAATATTTATAATATATCACGATGGACGCTCAATAATAAAACATTTTAGAAAGCTAGAAAGCTAACACAAGAATAGTAGATTTTAGTATAATTTGAAATGAAATGTTGAAACAGAAACCAAACTGAGATTTGCAAAACTTATTAAAACATATTGCATGTAATTAAATATAGTTAAAAACCGGATTGTTTGAAACCGGACTAATCGAGAACTTTAAAACCGCATAAATATAAACAGCTCAAAGAGTGTCTATATTGTATATGTACTAATTTTTTATAATTTATTTTGCTTAATTAACATTTAGTTTGTTTTCAAATTTTCAAACTGTACTATAGTGAATCCACATTGATCGAAGCCGCACTATGTGAAGTATTGCGAAGTATGTTGAAGTACTGAAATGTTTTTTCTAAATGAAAATATCTTCAAAAAAATGTAACAAATACAGAAGATGTAATTTTTCGTTACTATAAAAGTACAATTGTCAATAAAGTATGTGGTCTATGATAAAATAGATTTAGTTCAATAAATCAAATATTTTGTTAAATGTATAGAGATTTGGGAAATATTACAAATATTTTATGGCTATTGATTTGCAACGAATAGAAGACTTTTAAAAAGTAATTTAAATTGCATGAAAATAATATATTTAACAGACTTTGAGTTCGAAATATATAAAAAAAAGATTAATTAATTCATAAGACGAATTCCTTTTTGCCCGGATGACGGAGCAAATAATGAAACCCGATACCTGTAATACGAGAGATTTGCGAAACGCAATGGTATTATTACGTGGGTACAATGACCAAGAGGAACAAGCAAAAAAAAAATCCCGGTCGCATAATTGCCCTCAGAGCTTAGCTGTGGTCCTATTTACTACATCTAAATTACCTTCGTGGTTTCCGTATGTAAGTGGCCCAAAACTGGTTGGCTGAGGGCGTGCAGAATCCTCGGAGTGCAGTTGGACGGTCCTGCTCCCATTAAAGTTTTATGCGGGATAATCAGAGGTTTACGAAGAGCTTCCGGCTTTTCCACACGCATCTTGCAATAATTTCTGCGAAAATCAAAATTAAAAAAAATATATTATTTGGATTGGATCTTGAAAGGAATTGTATTTGCAATGGATCGTGTGATTTTAATGTTTTCGATTCAGCAAGTTTCGGTTCTGTTTGCTTTATGAAATAATACTCGAACCGGTGGAAAAAGCAATGAGGACGTCGTCATCCAGGAAACTTTTTGTTTTCCTTTCGGAATTGAATTTAATTAGAGTCGGATGCTGCGGCTGCTCAGGATGAACACAGGAGGAGGAAGCGTTTAACGTTGTTACATCATTGCATTTCAGCAATAGCCTGGATGCAAAGTGCAGATGCCTCGCTCCCATAGTTATTATGACACTCATCCCAGTGCGCCCGTCGAAGGGGGTGTGTGGGCGGGTTAGGTTGAAGAGCATTAATTAAATTTATGAGTTAGGCGATGAGTGTTATTGTTCCATCCACCCAACGAATCGCCGATGCGTGAGGGCGCGAACGCTGATCATTTCACATGGATTAGCCTTCACGGGGAAAATTATCCTCATCCGTTTATCAGGATATTCCTGCATCCAATATTTGGTTACAAAGCTCATCTCGTCTTCCCCATCCTCGCCGTTACATAAATAGCTTCAATTTAATTAGCCCCAGTATCGCAGCTAATTAGTCTACCTATCCTAGACGCAATTACCTTATTGCTATTTATTTCAAGTACTATTCTTTTCGCACAGACCTAAATACAAACAAAATTACCTTGCTTCTTATTATTTCACAACTCGAACGCACTGCACGAAAATCGTATACAGAGTGGTCAATATTAGTGTCGAGTTTTATTTATATAGACTTGAAACGCGATACGAAGTGTACGGTGGCTGTCTTATCTGGTGTGGCTGTTTGACCCCAAAAATTCGATCGACAAACAATATCGAGAAGGCAATGGAAACGTATTGTAAAACCGCGCTTTTCCGGCGCTTTAAGGGCAAAAAATCCATCGCACAGATGATTGTGCAATCGAAGGAAGTGGATTGTTTTCGTCGAAACGAACAGATAAATTGTGTAATTATTGTTGAATAATTGATGTTTTTGATGGCGAAGGAAGCGGAACTACATGTCAACATCATTGTTGATAAGTATCACATTTGTTTTCACCAAGCTACTCTGCATCCACACTCTATGTTGATTATACTTGATACTCCATCTCTTTAATAAAACACAGAATCAAATCTATCATAAAATAAATGAAAAATCAAGTATACTTATTTTTAAACCGACATTCACTTTAGTGCAATAGTTTTTTCTGCCATGCCCCACCGTAATCTCTCTAAAATTCTTATGTCCTCTATGCAACATATACTTAATACGCCTACGGTTAAACTCTAGATGTGTCCATTTTCGAATGGGCCCCATGTTGGGAAACATTGCTATATTGCCTTAGGTTTAGAGAATTTGGTTTCGGATGTACAATATTTAAAAAATTCATACTTTTGTTACTGCGTTCTTTCGTCCTGCTTGCTTTTGTTACGGCGCACTTAAATATTATTGGTTATTACTTAGTTATGATAATGAAACTGAACTGAACAGAGCTACAAATAGCGAATTACAAAATTATGAAACTTTATGAAACTTTTTTTAAAGAAATAAATAGATGTGTCCCGGATATTAAATCATAAATTTCAACGTAAAAAGAAGTATTTTATAGTATAAAAAAATTGTTATAATGATTAAGAGTTAAACATGAATAATTAAATATATAATATTTATTATGAATACATAGTTAACACGTTCGAACAGACATTAATATCTTATTTCTCCAGTATAGTGTGGATGATGTGTTGTATTTGTTGATTTAATGCAATTAATTTGAAGTCTGGAAAAGTAAGCAGACAGGAATATTTTGATGGGCTTTAATGTAAAATAATTTGTACGGCTAACTTTCGGTGCACTTGACTGGGTTTGCTGAAACATAATGAATATTATTCGCAAATTAACTTTGAAGCGTGTAATTAGATAGTTTCAGTTCGATATTAATTACCTGCGTAGTTAAACATACCGCACATAGTTATTATCAATCCAATTTTATATTAAATGATGTATGCATTGTATAGACATTCATACAAATGATTTATTAAATAAAATACGAATACAAAATTTATTGTCTTCTGACAAGTTTCAAGCAATAATTATATTTTTTTAAATCTGAAATATATTTTCTAATAATAATTTATTGGCCAAACATCAATACATAAGAAAAAAAAAGTACATTCTATACATATAAATAAATAAATTCTAACATAAAAATATATATATATATATCTACGGACAGGTTTTTTAGGACTGGATTTCGTCATTGGGAAAGTAGTGGGAAACCGTAGTCAAGGATAGGACGGCATATTTGTATATTGATGTTTGGCACTTTATGGATATTTCTGAGTTACGGAAGGTTAAGGAACGGAAATGACGGGATCTGGATTTAATTTTGGATTTGAGTTGTTTGCAACGGGCATTGAGATTGAGTTTAGGATCAAGAAGGATTCCAAGGTATTTAACAAGTGGTGAAGGGAAAATGGAATGATTATTTAACGTAACATGGGGAGACGAAGGGGATATGCGATGGTAGGGAATAAGGAGTCTGGTATTGGATGGGTTAATTTTGAGGCGCTATTTTTAAACCATAAAATGGTCAAGGATAGGAGGTTTTGAAGGCCAAGAATAGAGGATTGAAGGGAACAGGCATGGGAAATCAATGTAGTATCATCAGCGTATTGGAGGACATAGAGGTTGGGATCATAAATATTAGGATCGGGGCTATACATATTACAACAAAAAAGGTTATATAACAGAGGAGACTGAGGGGAGCCTTGCGAGACAAGGATCAAGGAGTTTTAAAATTTTCCTAGTAACAAGGTCATAGCCAGGGGCAGAGTTCTTAGAATATGACAGGGTGTTGAGGAATTCGTGGTTGTGTATAAGGGACTCAGGAGGGACATCAAAGTTATTGGAAAAAAAAGATTGGTACCAATCATTAATATGGACAATATTATTATGGTCAAATGTCCTCGTCAAAATCAAATTGTTTTTTAAAATGTTGCGCAAAGACATTGCAAATGCTGTCATCGTCTGAGTGAGTAATGTTTGTATTGAGGTCAGTTAATTGGTGTAAGGACTGGTTAATTTTGTATTTAGATAGTTTTTTTTTATTTGCCCCCAATAATTTTTACCCCTCGACTCTTCGATTACTGAGCAAGCATTTAACCACTTTTCTTGTTTAAATTCGCGAACTAATTTTTGAAAGGATTTATTTAGTTCATTGAAAATGGTTTTTAAATTTCGGTCCTCAGTTAGTTTTATTTGTCTATAGAGTTGTCGTTTCCTTTTTAATAATCGAAGGATGAAGGGTGGAAGCGAGTATTTGTAAGGTGTTATTTTGATTTTGGGGGAGTTCTGAATAACCGTGGAGGACATAAGTGAATGAAATTCGGAGATGATTTCTGGAGAAGGATCCGAATTTTGGGAAATGAAGACTGGAGTTAACAATAAACATATCACATTTATTTAGAGCAGAGACATATGAAGGAGAGATATTAATAGGGGAGACAGGAGATCGATGTCAAATTGGATTTCCAGGTGATCGGAACAAAGGTCAGGAACACCATCAAGGTTCTTGATGAGGGAATGGATACTGGAAGAGCAGATAACAAGGTCAGGAGAAGTGCTGGCATTATTAGACATAATAAAAGTTGAAGTGTTAGGGACACGAACGAAGTTCGAATTAGCTAGGAAATGGGAGAGGTGACGGGACTTGGAATTGTTTAGGTTGAAATCTCCAACAATAAGGACGTGATTGAAAAGGGAGGCTTTGAGGAATATGGAGTCATCAATGCTGGAGTTCGGGTCGATGTAAACAAGGAATATATGGATCTTGGAGTTGTGGAACGGAATAGTAAAATGGAGAACTTCGTCAGCAGGATTATTTATGACAGGGGGATTTGTTTTACTCAGCTTGGATGGCGGATGAACGACAGCAGAAGAACCACCTCGGATATTATTGATGAGGATGGAAAAAGGAAAGTGTGGGGAAGGCCAATCTCTGAAGGAAGGAAGTACACGGGATTTGGTTTCGATAAACAGGGAACAGGAAATGTTATTTTTAATTATATAGGATTTTATAAGGTGGGATTTAGGGTGAAATGAACTTATGTTGAAATATAAGACACGGAGGCTGCTATCCATTCAAGGGAATTAATTTAGAGGTGCCCTGCGTAGATAATGTGGGTGACTCATGACCTGGATTGTCCTGGTCAAACATAAAAATGTACATATAATTCCCCGAGAAGCACACGTGGGTGTCCACGTGGAAGTCATTTACAAATCGTTTTTTTAGCTTCTGAACCAGTGCAGCACGGTCCGAATGCTTAAGGTGATTGAGTTTGTTCGTAAATGTATTAATTATATAGTCATGGATAGTTAACGCACCATGGATCCTGCTATCCTTGGAGATGGTTTCGGGGATTTCTGCTGTTTTATTATTTGTGGGTTTGATTTTAGCGTTTGGGATACCAGGAATAGGTTGTGTGGGTCGCTTTGGACACTTCATGGACCAAGCCGCATGGTCCTCCGAATTGCATGCCGCACACTTCAGCGACAATGGCGAAGAGCATCGGATGAGGTCCCTGTCACTTGTTGCATTTAGTTATATTGGGGCATTTCTCAGTTTCTCATGTGTATACTCTTGGCACCTTCAACAGGGCACAGGCACCGGAGATGTAGGGATGCTCTCCTCAGTTGGGAAGTGACTGTTTCTATAGAAGAGTCCTTCTCGTAAAAGTTTTTCGTATGATGTCGTACAACTAGTGATGATCCTCACTTTGTATGTTAAGTTGTTTGTTGCTCTAGATGTTATTCGTTTACAGTAACTGCGATTGATCTTGTTGTTTAATTGCGAGCTTATTTCATCGTCGGTTATTTCGAGATCAACTCTGATGAGGACACAGGATAGTGATGTTTGGTTTATGTGTTTTAACGGTAACTTGGGAGAAGCACTCTCTGAATGGCTGCTTATAATGCCTCTGCTCTGCATATCCCTGAGGTAGGCGATTACTTTTGTTTTGATTTGGTGAGTATTACAACATCTGAACGGTTGCAGGGGTTTTTGGTCCAAGCGTCCGAAAACTGGGTCCTGGTAATATTTGTTGCGGTTTTTACCACGAAGGTATTAGTGTAGGTATTTCTAGTGGTTTGTGAAGTCGAAGGCTGTGCAGATGTAGTTTCACCACCCCCAAGAACAAGCTGCAGCCCAACACAGGCCGCCGAAGAGCCGGTACACAAGGACGAGTAAAAAAACACAGAGAAACTATTTACTGATAAGATACGGCAATTCAAACACGTCCGTTCTCTACCATGATTCGTGCAGAACTGACATTTTCTAATTTTCCATATAATTTTATTTAATTTTATTTACACAGATTCTTTGGAAGGGCGAATAATAGCCGAATGGTTAAGTCGCTCTACCTACGATTTCGTGGGTGCCCGTTCGAGTCCTAGTTAAGCCATCAATATTCTACTGAAGTTAACCTACAAGACAAAAGCCAACCAACAAATTTAAAATCTAATCATTATAATGGTAAACTATCCACCGAGAAAGATTGTCCATTTAATGTCAACCTCGTTTTGAAATTTAAAAAAAAAACTAATAAAATTTGTTCCATTTTGTTCTTTATTTATTTTATATTTGCAAGAAGAATTTAGTAAATATACTTATTTTTATATATAATTCAAATAATACATATGATAAGTCATAATTTTAATTTTTTATATAATATAGTTTGCTA